GTCAGATGTTATCTAGCTGTGCTTTGCTGCCAGGTGACAACGTCGAAATTGAGGCAGGAGGTGTGAAAAAGTCGGTTTCTTCCAGGCAGCCAATATGCAAAACAGGATAGATGAATCCGAACAGAGCTGGGAGCAAGTGGAGGGGTGCCCAGAGCTGCAAATACAGCGGGCATTGGCCTCGGGCCAGAAAAGCACCGAGAGCCTCTTGCCTGGGCTGAGCTGGGCTCTCCCCAGAAGAGAGAGAGGGAGTGGGACAGACCTGGGGCAGTCCTTGCGCTTTTTGGGCGGGGGGATGGTCACTGCCGAACAGGGGGCAAAGCTCCAGGCGAGCTGTGGAGGAAGCCAGCATGAGGAGCTCTGCCCGGGCCCCGTGGGCAGAGGGGGACGCCCCCCCGCCCCCCGCCGTTGGTCCCGCAGGTGAGCGGCTGGCGAGGCCCAGGAAGGTGCACTTCACTGCAGAGATAGCACATCACCTCCTGCGGTGGGAGCCGGGAGACGACCCCCCCAGCGACGTCCGCTACGAAGTGGAGCACAAAATGTGAGTAGAGCAAGGAGGGGTTCAGCCCCTGCCCGGCACCCCATTCCCACAGCAGAGACAACCGAGGCCCTGGCACCTGCCCGTGCTGCTCTCACCCCAGGCGCTTCTCCCCGCAGCTACGGCACGAACGCCTCCTGGGCAGCCATCCCAAACTGCAGGAAGATCTCGGGGCACTCCTGTGACCTCACGTACTACACCCTGGATCCCGACCGGCGCTACTACGCACGGGTCAGGGCCGTGTCTGGGAACCTCACGTCCCTGTGGGAGAGGACCAACTCTTTCTCTCCACGACAAGGTAGGTCAGGTGCCCGCCTGCACCCTGAGGCCAAGTCAGGAGGCTCTGGGGAGAGCAGAGGCCAGGCTGCCTAACTGCTTGGGAAGAGCCCTGAGACAGATGAAAGCAGGGATGTCACCCTCTTCATACCTTCCTGGAGGGCAGCCAGGCTGTGGGATGGGGTGGGACAATCCTAGGGCAGGTGGCACTGGCTGGGAGGAACAGCCACAGCTCAGTGCGCTGCCGTGAAGCCTCTTAGGGCTGCCACCAGGAGAAAACCCTAACGTGCTCTTCCAACTGACTCGTCTCCAGCCAGCCTGCGCCTCTCGGGCCAGAGCCTCTCCGTGGTGGGCAACACCGTGCACGTGCAGCTGCAGCTGCTGCTCAGGACAGGGAACCTCACCGTGAAGTACGAGGACGTACAGAAGCACGCGAGGCGGTACCGGGTGTACGTCAGGAGGGTGCAGGACAACCGGACGGTGAGATGAGTTGCTGGTCCCGTGCTGTCCCCGTCTGTCACACACACTGCTGCTCAAATTGAAAAACACATTTTTAAAGTAGTCTTCTGTAAAACTTAATGTTGAGCTTTGTCACAGCCTCAATATCACAGAGCGATTTCTCTGCTCGTCTTATAGTGCAGGAGGTTCCCCAAATCTTTCGTTGGGGTCTAGCTGCTGTCAGCCGTATTGCCGAGCACCCCAGGGGAGGGTGTGAAGGGAGGAAAGTACAGGGCCCGGGACTCCCAGAGGAGCTGGGGGTTCTGAGGTACCAGCCCATGCTCTGGTCCTTGCAGTATGAAGTGATTGAGACCACTCCAGAGTTCCAGATCAGCAGCCTGTTCTGGGACACGGAGTACTGCGTCAGCGTGGTGCCCGACGTGGCCAGCCGGCAGATCCGCGCCACGCGCACCGACGAGCAGTGTGTCACCACCGGCCAGAGAGACAGTGAGTGGAGGGGGCAGGACACGGACCCTCCTCAGCCTCCTGGGGCACAGGGCTCTGCACCAGGGCGGCCGCTCCGTGCTGCCTGTGCCAAGGATCTGCCTTCCCCCCTCACCCGGGTGTATCCTCTCTTGCAGGGAGCGCAGAACTCATCCTGGGCATCGGCAGCTCCTGCTTCATCACCCTGTTGCTCTTGGGTGTCCTGGGGTTTCTGCTGGTGTGCACCTACATAAAGAAACCCATGAAGCCACCATCCGTCCTGGTAAGGCACCCTTTTTGGCCGGCATGAGGGTGCACACTTGGGTAGCTCTTGGGAGAGGGGGGCACCAAGCAGGGATGAAGCATGGCTTACTGCCCTCTTTCCTCTCCCTTCCAGAAGTCTTTCATAAAGCAGAGCTCACTCTGGGTGGAGGAGTTGTCCGAGTCCTCGTCCTCAGGCAGCCCGGACACAGATCCTGTCCAGCAGCTGTTCCTGTGCCAGAAGGAGCCCCAGCAGGACAGCAGCCCCGTCCACAGCACCAGCACAGCCCAGCTGCCCCTGGAGAAGGGCTGGAGGCTCCCGGTGTGGCCCAAGGACTGGGTGTGCCCGCTGGGGCTGGCGGCCCCGGGCAGCAGAGACAGCAGCTGCACCAGCACTGACAGTGGCATTTGCCTGCACGCCTCCTCCTCCGAACTGAGCTGCCCCTCAGGCCCCGAGCCCCACGGCTACAAGCAGCATCAGGCCCGGAGCCCCACGGCTACAAGCAGCAGCTGCCCAGGGGCGACGACAGCGGCCTGGGCTTGGGGAGCACCGGCCCGAGCCCCACGTGCTCCTCCGGCAGCGGGAACACCAGGCCCCCCCTCGGAGAGGAGCTCAGCCCGAGCCCTGCCAGCAGCCAGGGCAGCCAGCAAGAGCTGGAGTTCCGTGGGTACCTGCAGCAGTCCAAGGGCACCGTGCAGCCAAGGCAGGAGCCAGCCGAGCGGGTGCCCTTCACGGGCCCTGCAGGATCCTCGCAGGGCCCGAGCAGCACTGACACTGTGCTGGCTGTGGAGTGCTCTGAGTTGGCTGTGGTCAAAGGGTACCTGAAGCAATCCTCTCCCGAGCACCCCTCTAACCACGCACTGGACCTTGCTCCACGGAGAGCCCCTCAGGAGCCCAATGCCTGGGACTTCTCCAGCCAGGTGGGGCCCCATGCCCCTGCTCTACTGAGCTATGGGGCTCCTGGCGCTCCCTTGGCCTCCAAAGCCAGCCCTGAGCTTGTCAAAGCTCCCTTCAACCTGGATATCTTCAACACTGACCTCCTGGGGACGCTGCCCCTCATCTCCAGCCTCAGCACCAGCAAGTGGCTCATGCTGCAAACCAGCCCCGTGAGCCTGCTGCATGGGGACAGCAAGGACAGCCGGCTGTGAGCCGTCCCCACACTGACCTGACTACCTCATCTCACCACTGCCCACCTGGAGCAGCCACTGCGATAAGCTACAGCCAACCCTTGAATGTTACTGCACCCACCCAAGCGGCGCCCTGGCCAAGACTTGCCCCAGGAGGACCAGCTGAGCTACTTCTGGGGCTGCTCAGGATGCAGTACCCACTGCGGGCAGCCCCCAGCATGCCCTGCCCCTTCCCAGTCCCCGCGGCGCGCACCCCCCATCATGCCCTGCCCCTTCCCTCCAGCCAGTGTCTGGGATACGGGGATGGGCTGTGCTGGAGGGCTGGCCCCCATCGCCTCCGACCACCAAGCCCAAGGATACACCAGGATGTTCCCAAAGAGCGATCCTGCCTCACCTGCCCCCTGGGCAGCACAGCGCAGGGCACGCAGCCCTGTGCTTCCCCTCCCAGCTTCCCCCTTCTGCAGGCAGGCACCGGGCTCCTCTGGCTGACACCCACACTGCCGATGCCATCCAAGGCTTTCACAACACGGATACCGAAAGCGAGGAGCAGCCTGACGTCAGCCATCCTGCTACTGGGAGCCTGGAGCTCCCACGCTGGCTGACCTCACTTGGAGGGAGCGAGGGACTTTCCTGACCCTACAGAGACCCTTCAGCATCATTCCCCATGGCAGAGAGCCAGGGCACTGGGCACTTCTGGCGAGGTGCAGGATGCATGAGCAGCTGCCATGTGAGCCCAGCGCGGGTCGGGGCAGCCCTGCTCACACTATGGTCTGGGTTCTGCCACTGTCGAATACAGACATTATTTATTCTATTTAATTTCTAAATACAGAAAGGATGTGGTGTTATTTATTTGGGCCACTTATCTGTACATACTCTTCTAAGGTCAAGCTGCGCTTTCCATTTTCAGATACAGACTTAACCCTGCAGCAAACGGCAACGTGTCTTTGCTCACATGGGGAAGAGCATTTCCCCATCACAACTGAGGAAAAGGAGAACAAAGCCAGCCCACCAAGGGCTTCACACTCATCTGAGGACCAGGGCAGTCGTCCCAGCTGTGGGAGCGTGCAGGGAGGAGCAGCAGGGAGGGGACCTGGGCAGCTCACAGTGATGTCACAGGGGTGCACGGGGCATGCAGCATCCCAGAGAGCAGCAGCTCGGGGACCAAGGAGGGACAGGAGCACCCCCAGGGCAGAGCAGAACCAGTCCAAATGGGGGCAGGGGAATAGTTTCAATCAGAATGGAAACAAGTGTGAGATGGGACCGACTTACTGCGGGCTACATTTGACTGCTGCCAGGTCACTGGAGAGTTTTTCCAGAAGTCTTAGTTTCCAAGAACATCCACAGTAGGATAGTTCCATTAAACCATTGGTGGAAACCCAGCTCGGGGGAGTGCCTTTTTTCTGCTGAGAACTGAGTCACTGTGTTCAGGAGAAGGGCTGTTGACGCAGCTCTGTCT